TTTTGGTTTGGGACTATTTCACACTAATGCAAACCCCCTGTGCCTCTGCAGGAAACACGTTTGTGGATTGCTAATTGTTTTAGATTAACCCCAGAGACATTTGGCAGGCTTGGTTATGGCATTTTCGGCCCACAAATTTAATGTTTATTTCTTGGGCTTTGATCATACACCTTTCGCCCAGACAGACAGGTCAGTTGTCCTGTGGAGAGCATGAGGAAGCATCCTGCATCCTGCATCCTCTGCCTCTCAGGAGGATGGACCACTCTGGGTCAGCTGCCCTATGGGGAGCATGAGGGGAGCATTCTGCATCCTCCAACTCCCAGGAGGATGGACCACTCTGGGTCAGCTGCCCTGTAGAGAGAATGGGGGAACATCCTGCATCCTGCATCCTCTGACTCTCAGAAGGATGGGCCACTCTGGGTCAGATGCCCTGTGGAGAGCAGCATCCTGCATCCTCTGACTCCCAGGAGGATGGACCACTCTGTCTTCTCTCAGTTTGTTTTCTTCAGCTCTCGCTGCCTTAACCCAGCACTGGCTGGGTGGCTCAAGCAGTAGAACGTAATGTTCTGCCAGTTAGTCCTAGATGCCAGAAGGCTGGAACCCCAGACCCAGGAAATCAGATGAGTACTGGTCTCAGCTTGAAGACAGCCAGCTTGTCATATGACCTTTCCTCTGTGGCCACTTTCGGAGAGAACTTGCTGCTGTCTCTTTCCCTCTTTATGAGAACACTGATTCTGTCTGCTCAGACATCACACTGATGACCTCATATACCTGTAATGAAATTTGGCCAGGGGGAGAAGGTTACAATTTAATCTCTGTGACATTTAAAGGGCTACATTGGCCTCTAGCACCTTGGGTTCCCGCCCCCACCCCCACTAGACACACCCCTCACCCATGAGCTCTGAAACACTAATCTCTGTGGCTTCTCTCAGTGGGCTTCAGTGTCCTTTGATTTCTGTCAAGTTTTAGCCTAGACTCTAGACTGGCAGGAAGTGGATTGAGAATGGGAGGAGGTCCGCAGAAGCAGCCTCTGTTTAGGAGACCCTCCCAAATCCTAGCACCCTCCATACTCCGTCCCAGTGACTCCTCTCTCCTCACGCCCAGACCTCAGACGGCTAGGGAATGTGTGCTGTCCTTCTGGCTTTCTGTGCTGTTTTTCTGATTATTTGTGACACAGAGTCTTTCCATGTAGCTGTGGATGGTCTAAAATGCACTATGTATCCCAGGCTGGCTTTGAACTCACAGAGATCTGCCTGCCTCTGCCTCCCTGGGGTTGGAACTAGAAATGTATGCTACCCAACATGGCCATTTATTTGTCTATGCTTGTTTATAAAAGAATTTCCATCAATTATCTGTTTGATACAAGGAACAAATACCTCTGGAAGGGGCATTTTTAGGACAGCAGCAATTCATAGTCCTTTCATGCCTGTAAATTCCTAAAGGACAACTTAAGTGGTGTTGTGATGCCGCTTTAGCAGTGGTTCTCAACCTGTGGGTCACAACCCCTTGTGGTGGTCAATGGCCCTTTCACCATGGTCACCTAAGATCATTGGAAAATACAGTATTTACCTTGCAATTCATAACAGTGGTAAAATTATAGTGACGAAATCACAACAAAATTAATTTTTTGATTGGGGGTCACCACAACATGAGGCGCTGTATTAAAGCGTTCCCAGCATTTGGAAGGTTGAGAACCATTGTTCTGTAGTGATGTCATTTGTGGATCTCGCAATAATAGAATGTCTAGTGTTCATATGTCTGAGGGTGCCACATTAGGGCTAAGGCTGCCTGAAGGGTTTGGGCTCTAAAACCTGCATCCTCCCTGTTAGCGCTGCTCGGGATGAGACCTGCATCCTTTGCTTGTCAGTCCTGGATTTGCCCTGGATCTGGAAAGAACAGGAGCTAGAATGCTTTCAGATCTCAGTCCCAGGCTTCAGTGGAGACACAAGAGGCTTTCCTAGGAGCAGAGAAATTATCTCAGCCCCGTCCCGTTTGCTCAGGGGGCAACTGTAAAAGAATGGCTCAGATCCTGGCTCCCGTCCTGCATCAGACCATTACTGAGCACCTCTGAGATGCGCCCTGTTGATCTATAAATTGGCAGTGATGTACGAAGCTCCCATGGTGCACTGTGCCACCTGTAGGGCTTGCTAACTAACACTTTTCTAACACGTTGGCTTCTGTTGTCTTGAGTATACAGTAGATCATCTGTGGATACAACACTTGTTGATCATGATGCCAAAATTATCCCTTACGACTTGACACAAAGGCCTGGGGGTGCGTCTCAGTGAAAGCATGCCTCCCACACATAAAACCTTGGATTGCATCCCTGGCATTGGAAGAAAAAAAGTACTTCGGTCAGCCAGATACATTCATATCCACAGTCATAGTACTTGGGAGATGAGGCAGAAAGTTTGTGATTTTGTGGCCAATATCAGGGTGCATAATGAGACCCTGTCTCAAAACAGGAAAACAAACAAAGCAAAGAATAAAATTTAAAAAAAAAAAAGAATTTGAGGAGTGAGAAGGATGGCTGCGCAATTTGGAATACGTCCTACTCCTCCAGCGGTCCTAAGTTCAGATCCCAAACTGCATGTGGGGCAGCTAACAGCTACTTCCAGCTTCATCTCTAGGAGGCCCAACACCCTCCTTTGGCCTTTGTGGACACCCCTACACATGGGATACACACACACAATGACATGCACACATAAATAAAAATAATTCGAGTTGCATCCTTTCTCTTAACAAAGGAATTGTTGTGATTGTATGTTGTTAAAACTAATACACGTTCATGAAAACTTGGTTTAAAGAAGAAAGTAAACTCCTAATCCTACCAAACAGAATGGATTCTGTTACACTGCACTTGTGTGATAGCTTCATGCATCTGACTTCCCAACGTGCATACTTTTATTTTCTCAGCTAAGACGTCCTTTATCTGTGTGCACTGTATTGATAACAAAGGTACTTTTCTGAACATTTTCTTCTTAAGTATTTAAATTATCTTAATAAAATTATATACCTAGGTACACAGTCCTGAATTTAGATGAATAAATGTGATTGCATTGTTTTGCTTTTTCATGGCTCTGTGGTTCTCACCCTACCATCTGTTATGGTATTGGTTAAATCAGGTAGGTCTTCTGCCTTCCCGTGCCTTCTGTTGACCTGGCCAGGTAAGTTGCGGTATGACCATGCTTTTGGCCTGTGGAAATACCTCTCTGTCTCTGAAAGAGGAAAATGTGCTGAGGATAACTGATACAGTCTTCATTCTTCTGGCCATCTTCTTTCTCTGAGGTCTAGGTGTGCGTCTAACGGTTCACACTAAGGTGAGACAGACTTCATGCAAATGCTAGAGAAAGCATGGACAGAATCTTAGTTTATGTTGCTGGGATTATGTCTGCATTCTTCTAGGTTCTTTTTATTATTTCTACAGTCTAGGTTTTCAAAGTAATGTGATGGGAAGTCAGAGGTGGATGAGCAGACCCAGATGCCCATTAGTGACAGCACCTGGGTCACTCTCCTGGGTCACTCTCCTGGGTCGCTCTGTGATCTTGACTCCGATTCATGTTTTCTGAGGTGGTGGGTGTCTTTCTATGTAGACAACATTGTACTTTTACAGTTCAAAGAACAAAAAGAAATAAATATTGAGCTTCGTTACTTAGGTTATAATATTCTGTTCCTAAGGATTCAAGATCAAGAAGAGTTTATTCTGGATAGTCCAGATCCTTTATTGTCACTATATTTGATTTATCAAATGAGCTACTTTCACAAAGCAGTGACCAAAATATTGACAGTAACAACCTAATGCCGGAAAGGTTTATTTTGGCTCTATGGGGAAAGAGCGGTAGTGGCTCTGTCTATCGTGGAGGCTGGGGCCAGGACTCTTCTCATCCCATCAGCCCAGTTCCTTGTAACCTGCAGAGACCCACCTCGTGTGTCCTCTTTGAGTCAGCCACACCCCACCTCCTGCAAGTCCCACAGTCTCCTTAAACAGAGCCCTCAGCTGGGGAACAAGTGCTCCAACACGAGCTGGTCAGGGATGTCTTAGATTCAGACTACAAGCATCTCACATGTTTCTCCTTCCACCTCATAATCCTGAGAAAGGCTCAACCCTCAGCAGCTGTGCGGCTTTATTCTCATATGCTAAGTGGAAGATGGTGGGTTTGCTGTAGATATCCATCAGTATGGCTTTAAATTGAGCTTTTTCAATTCTTAGGAATTTAGCTGCCAAAGAGCAAGGATGTGCTTTGCCTCCTTCATCGGTGCTTGTCTTCACTGCTCTTGGCTGCATTATTTAGGTCTTTAAGGGACTCTTGCAGATGTTTTAAGCTACCAGTTTTTATGTAAAGTGTGGCTCTGTTCTTAGCATTTTGAGTAATGGTGGGTGATCTGATTGTAAGAAGTATGAGAGAACACTACTGCCTTTACAGACAATGGGATTTGGCCTAGACTTCTTCATACTTCATGATTCTCAGGTTTCCTGTGCCATTTTATAACAGCCACCCTTTACAGTAGTTGTGAACATTTAAAACAATATGTATTATATCACTGTAATTCTTACAGCTCTTACTTTTCAACTCTGGGGTCTGTGTATTCAGATTTGTCTTTCCCTGATGCATGTTGTATCACCGTAGACCATCACTAATCCTTGGTACCTCAGTTTCTCATTCGCATCATAGGGAAACGCGTGTTGGTCTCACATTGTTGAAAAAGTTCAACAAAGTTTGTAAAGCGGTCATAGTTGTGCTCGGTTTGTAAATACTGAGCATTCTTAGTATTACACCGGTGGTTTTGATGCTTCTGTGGCTATTTTATTTTAAGTAAGGCAGCTCTCCTTACCTTTCCTCCTCAAGGCATCTTGAACCCAACATTTTATTAAGACAGCATTGCTTTAATCCAGCAGATACTTGGTTTTAATGGTCCTATTGAGCTGATTAATGGTTTTCTTCATCTGCAACCTGGGGTCCTGCCTTCCCGTGTCTCTGACTTTCTCCATTTGTCAACAGGGGCGGAGAGGCCTTGGCTCTGTGTTTGTCTGGGCATCTGGCAATGGTGGAAGGAGCAAGGACCACTGCTCTTGTGATGGTTACACCAACAGCATCTACACCATCTCCATCAGCAGTACAGCTGAGAGTGGAAAGAAACCGTGGTACTTGGAAGAGTGTTCCTCTACACTGGCCACAACCTACAGCAGTGGAGAATCCTATGATAAGAAAATAGTATGTAACTTTTGCGTGTCTATTACCATCCACATTTCTTCAGTGTTCATGTTGAAAGTTAAGAGAGATCCATACATGTGTAGAAGGAGCTTATAGAAGCAGCAGATCTGATTAGCTGATGGGACCAAGTAAATCACTGTGAACGTTAACAGTCTATTGCTGATTCCTTAAAAATGCTTGTCGGGATCATCATATTTGAACATTAATATAACGTTGATCACAACTAAGTTTCAGTTTTATTGAGAACAAATGATTGGTCTACATTTACGTTGATAAGAAAGAAAAAAACAAGAAGAATCAACATGTGATTCTCAGCTTAGTGTCACTATCATTGACTTCTGATTCTGGTGTCTCATGTAGCTAATTCATTATGAACAAAAAAGTATATACGAGAACTAAAATTCACACTTAAGGTGTACATTTGCTTGTCTGTTTCCATGGGCTCTACATCTACAAGCTAACCGACCACACTACATTGAAATTACCTTGAAGATATTCTTTTAGTAGTCTCTGTTCACTAAACAATGTAGCATTACATCTGTATGCATGGCCCTTGTGTTATTTTGTATATTAACGCAATCTAGAGATTGGGTAGTACTTAAGGAAGAATGTGCAAACATAAATGTGCAAATATATGTCATTGTATTTTATATGCAGGACTTAAACATGTAAGTCCTGTTTTAGGATTCCTGAAACCAATCCTTTGCAGATATCAAGGGGCTGTATTTGTCCAATGTATCCTAACCCTGTACCAGCTGTGCTTGTGGGTCTACTGTAGTCTACTGAATGGGGAATTATGGAAGTGCAGTGGCGTCCCCTCTTCACCATCCTGTCCTGCTAGCTTGTAAAACAGCTATTCAGGATTCAGGTTACTAGATTGGCCTACCTAACTTAAGCCATTTTCTAGGTCTAAGTCCTTCCTTATAATGTGCAGGTTTAGGAGTTTTTAGTTCACAGAGCCATTACTGAAATAATTGGGGGATACACAAGTCAATAAAAAATGCAACCCAATGCTAACCCTTCTCAAAGTCTGTAGAAACTGACTCTTAGAATGCCTGACACAGCACTACTAATTCTAAATGTCAAATGCTAGTCCTCTTCTCCTGACCATGGTTTTCCAGAGTGTCTCAGGATTCCTCTTTCAAAGAGGACTCATGTCCTGCTGAGCTGTTTTACCTGATGTTTGAGGAGCCACACAGGGACAGATCAACATTGTGGAGGAGCATCTCATTTTTCTGTAGCAGTAGGGAAGCCACTGCAATGGTTCAGCAATTAAGAAAACTGGTTTTTCTTCCAGAGGACCTGGGTTTGGTTCCCAGCATCCACATAGCAGCTCACAACCATGTTACTCAAATTCCAGGATACCTAGTGCCCTCTTCTGGCCTCTGTGGGCACTGCATACTTATAGTACACAGACATATATTCAGGGAAAAGACCCATACACATAAAGTTGAATGTATACAAGTCCATCTCTCAGTACTTCCTGGATCAGTTATCAATGAACTAACTCTAAACACAAAGTAAGATACATAAGGAAAAAGCTCAAGACTAGACATTTCTGGCTTAATTAAAACCTGATGCTGCTCACCAAGATTTTGATTTCAGTATAGAGCTGTAAGCATCTGGAGAACTCTTTTGCTTTTCAGTAGAAAACTGTATCCCCTAACTTGTCACCCTCAACTACCAGTGTCTCGTGACACCCATCTCTGTATCAAGAAGTAACTGAAAATCTCCAGGATAAGATTCCCACCATTTACAGCTCTAGAGTCTGAGGATCGGCAGCAAGCTCATACTTCCTCCCAGGCATCTTATGACCGCTCCAGTCCTCTTGTTCCCTGTGGGACCATTGCTGTGGGGCTGGTGCTGATCAGCTCCAGAAATGCCTTTTCTAAAAGAAACTTATAGTCTAATGAACAAATATCAAAACAGGAGGAGGTGTGCTCACATCCCTGACGGAATACGTCACTTGGTCTGAGCAACCTTAGCACCATGTCTACGAGGTCCACTCACTAGACCTTTCTCCTGGGCACCATTGTATTTGTAACTGGGCAGCAGTTGTTGTGGCCCCATAAACACAGCCATCAAGCGCCAGATGTTTACAGTTCTATAATGAAGTCAAAATCTTGGTGAGAGGAGAAAGTTTGGGGTGGGACCTGAACACCATGGCTGGATGTCAGTGTCCTTCTGTGAGGTCTCACACTTCAGTTTCCCGTCACAAACTGGATGCATACTTAACTCTTCCTTCTATCTGCTTTGTGATTATTCTCTTTTTCAAAGGAAATTTCCATTTATTAAGAATTAGAAATTTATTGTTTTGCTTATGGGATGATGTCTTCAGACTAGAGATAAACTCGGGAATCTCCTAATGGAGCTAACGGGTGTCTTGCCCCACTGGGGCACACTGTCCAATGGTTAGGGAACATAGCAATGTGTGTAAAATCATGGGCTTAATTCTAGATCACAGTATTTCTGCAATGAAAAAATAATCTTTAAGGGCATTAGTTTCTCATTACGAAGGCCAAAAACTTGTTCATTTCTGCCTTTTCTTCTCTTTACCTAGTTCTTCAATTCTTTTCTTAATGTTTGCACCCTCAAATTACCCACAAGGAAGAAGAAATTTGGAAACTGATTGAATCCAGTGTCTGACTTCACACTGGCCACATAGTGCTGAGCCACCCCACTCCAAGTCTTGACCTCCTCAACTGTAAAATTGAGGTGACCCCCACATGGTCCCAGAGATTCCCGTGAGACAGTGACAGCCTGAGTCTGAGTACCTGGTATGCATGTGGCTCTATTAGAGACTGGCATCACTGTCCTTAGACTGTGCAGCCTTCTGCACCCTTGAAGGCCCGTGGGTTGCATCTCGATTCACAGTGGTTCCCATTGCACCTCCATTTTCCCAATCCATAAAACCCTGTGGTCTGTTCCACCAACCCCATAAAGAAAGCCACTGTGATCAGGAACATGTTAACAGCCTGAACATGAGTGGAGCTGGCAGCAACATCAGGTTTTTATGGTCCAGCTGACCCCCTTTCCTTCCAGATGTCAGGATGATGAATCAGCCCACAGCGCGCCCAGGACCTTGCCACCGCCAGGCTTTGAACCTAGACGCCTGTGGTCTCTGGGTGATGCCTGCCTCCTGTTAGTGGCATCCGTGATGGAGTGCTACAGCAGTGGCAGTGTCCTGTCTGCACGGGGCCCCTCCCCGGAGCCATCCATTTCCTTCTGTCACTCGCCTCCTCTCCCGAAAAGCACAGCTGTCGTTCTTCTTTCCCAAGAGCACCTTAGTAATTCGAACTGAGGCGGCTGCTGAGGAGCTGTGGGACAGGAAAGATCTCTCCTTCCGGGAAAGCACTTTGTTAAATAAACTTTACATGCCTGGGACAAAAGGTCTTTTCATGATTTGCAAGCAGGAAAGCTTGCCCTGGGTTTCAAAATAGAGTGAGGCCCGCACACTTGCGTGCCCTGCCATTGCTCGCAACTCAACAGTGGGCACTGGTGTTATAGTCACACTCACATAGACCTGGAGCCTTGGTAGCCTGGCAGATTATGCCAGCAAATGAAGCATCCAGGATGTCAAGAGTCTAATAAGGAGCTCTTTTCTAAACAGAATGGTCAGGAATGACTATTGTTTGTTTGCAACAAAAATCTCACCCAGCCCAAGCTAATCCCATGGTGCTTCTGCCTTGGCCTTCCATGTGCTAAGATGACTTCTAGGACCTGCCACATCCCCTAAACAGATATTTTTAAGATTTATTATTATTATTATTTTTATTATGTGTATGTATTAGTGCAGGTGCCCTCACAAACCCGCTGTGTCAGTTCCCCTGGATCTAGAATTATAGGGACTTATGAGCAACCTGGATGCTAGGAGCCATACTCAGGCTCTCTGCTAGATCAATATTGTCTATTACCCACTGAGCCACCCCTCTGGCCCACTCTGATTAATCTAGTTTAAAGCCATGGCTTGAAGTAATGTTTTCCTTAGCATAATTGTCTACATAGCATTCTGTATCTCGTGTGACATATTTACAGTTGTTATAACATATCATAAACATAACATAAACATAACATTTGTGACCGTTCTAGTGAGAACCTGATACAGCACTCTGCACGTGGCCTGCAACCTTTCTCATTATCCTGGAAACCCTGTGTACAGGGATCATCTTGTTCATCTCACAGATGAGAAAACAGAAACTTGAAAGGCTAGAAAAGAAACATACATCTGGTCTGTTGGGGGCACCTAGGTTCCAGTCAAGCAGAATGAAGCCCAAGCCCATCTATCATGGGTGTCTCATCATGCCCAACACTTGTCAGGGCCATCCAGTGTGGCGCTATGTAGGGAAGGGTGGTCACTTACCTGGTGTTCTCTTAATAGCTGTCCACCACATTTTACCACCTTGCTCTTCCTGATTGAATCTCTGGCCTCTACCCTTTTCCTAATCCCCTCAGTCAGCCACAGTCTCCCAAGATGGTGCTTCTGTGTGGTCAGAGTAGAGCTGCGTCCTCTGCTGAGGCCTTCTTGTAGGAGCCCCTTGCCTGGAGCCTCCCTTTGGCTAGGTAGAGGAGCATGATGCTGTGTTCCCTGCATGTGGGCTCGTTCCTTCCACCACCCTCTTCTCAGTCAGCCGCGCTTCCCCATGTACTTAGCCTCACTTGACACTATTGTCTACGTTCTTCATTTACTGTCTGATTTTCTTGCCAGAGTGGAAACTACTTGAGAACGAAGAGTCTGTGCTCTCTTGGCTAGAGCCAGGCTCCGTAAGTGTCCGTGCAAAAAATAACCATGTAAAAATAACCTTCATGGAAGGTAAACATTTATTGAAATAGTTACTCTGGAAAATGGTCAAATTTATGTGTGTAACAACCCATACAAGCTATCAAAGTTTTGTCTTTAAATCTCACTGCTTCCATCGCTTCCCCCTATTGTGTTTGTAGAACTAAAACCCTATTCAGTCGTTCCTACCAGGAAGTTATCTCTATTTTAGAACCTCTTCTGC